AATCAAAAATATTTTTCTACTTAATTATTTTTCATTATTTTCCTATTAAAATGAAAAATATGATCGTTATCCATTACATCAAACCATTAATTTTGAATTTCTATCTCTTTGTGAAACTTATAACGGCTATATTTTTCATTCTCATTTTTATAAAAATGGCAAACAAATCCCCCCTCATGCTTTCAAACTATCAATTTCAAAACACGTTTGAATCGACAACCATATAATTAACAACTTTTTAAAACATTGAATTAATTAAGTGAACGTGATTTTTTTTTTTCCAAACCATAATTTTTTAGAACCACATGTCTAAATTGTCTTGCTATGCCGCTAGATTCTTCAACATCGTGATGACAGAGGAATGCCACGTGATATTCTGTTTTTGTGCTATTTAAAAAAGAGTCAATACTACATCCAATCATTTTTTGCAACACACTTAATCTATCATCCAGAATGTTAATGCTTATTTGGTAGGGATTTTGTTAATTAATTTTTTTATCATTAGAGATAAAATAGATCCTACTTGTGAGGAAGGAGAGATGCTGCTGCCACATATAAAGATGAAAGCACCAATTAAACCATGGGATTGTTTTACAAAATCTTTTATAAAAGTTGATGAAATGAATAATTGAAAAGTTAATAATTTTACAGAAAAGTAACGCTATTCACAATCAATCACTAGGATAGTCACCCTACGTGGCATCCTACATGATGATTTATGATTTAATTTATTAATTTGGTAGTTTTTCTTGCCACATATATCAAATTATTAACCATTACATGCCTGTCATATAGAATGACCGTAATAGTGATTGAGTGCAAATCGCATTATTCTTTTACAGAATGCCACTCCATATAAGTCAAGCTCCAGTGCCACGAAAGGGTTTCCTATTACATGGCTTACTAACTTTGCCTTTAAAATTCAAAGTGGATGATTTTTCGAGGAAAGTAAGTTTGATGTGGTTGTTAGAATTATTAAATCCCTATTAACAGTAATCCAATAAGATCTTAAGAGGTTGCTAGAATTATTAAATCCAAATTAGGCATGTAAACAACTTCCAAGTTGACATTTGATGAAACTCAAGCAGCCAACAAAAGCATATAAAAACTTCCATTATAAGAAGGTATCAAAAGATTTTTAAAATGCAAAACTGAGGAATTGGAATTCAGAGGGAAGGGTGTAATCATGTAAGCATGCAATGAATGGTTCTATAACTTCTGAGATAGGCTCAAGAAAGCTTCAAACGTCGCAGTTGCAGTTGGCACGACTTTTTTACGCGTTTAACAATAAAGTAATCCTGCCAACATGCAATTTTTTTCTAATTTCCTCCACTTATAAATTCTCTTGTTTCTTGAGCAATGCAATACATCAATCTCAATCTTCATCAATACTCCAGCAATTCCTTTGAGGAAATTGAAGAAGATGATGAATTTCAAGATTTCAAAGATTGTAGCAGTTGCTCTGCTGTTTTGCCTGGTTGTTTTCTCCTTTTCTACATCTGCTTTGGCTAAATCTAAACATGCAAAGCCAGCCAAAGTAGCTCCACTCATAGTAGGATTTTACTCGAAATCCTGTCCACTTGCCGAGAAGATCGTAAGAAATGCAGTGAACAAAGCCGTGTCCCTCAATCCTGGAATAGCTGCTGGCCTCATTAGGATGCATTTTCATGACTGCTTTGTCAGGGTAGATATATGTTGAAATCTTTAATTACTCATAATAATTCATTCGTATGTTGTTAATATCGTGCTTAATTAATTTCAGGGTTGTGATGGTTCGTTGTTGCTGGATTCCGTGCCTGGAAAACCTGTTGCAGAGAAAGATAATTTGGCAAATAATCCAAGCCTTCGAGGGTTCGAGGTAATTGACGAGGCAAAAGCTCTAATCGAGGTTATATGTGTTGGAAAAAATGGTTTAATGGGTCAACTTTGAGCCCAAATTTCAGTGGGATCCACCTTTTAAATAATGCGGGACCTAGCATATTCACGTTCTACTCCGCGAGATGATTAACGTGATATATTTATTTATCGAAAACCATTTAAAATTGAATGAAATATTAAGCGTTAAAGTAACCCACATAAACTAAGGATTATGGAAGAATTTGATTTTTCAAACACTTATCCCACATAGGAAAGTTAGGAAACTTTGGTGTGGTTTATAAGGTGGAAGTTTGGAATTGGGTTTGGGCCCCAAGGGGTACCAATAGTCTTTGGAAGGGGGAAGACCTATATCCCATTGGGTTCGGTCATAAACCCACACGCGCGCGCCGGCTCGGCTCGGCACGGCACGAGCACGTGCCCGTGTCCGGTGCGGTGCGGGTCCGGGTCGACATTTACACTATATTAACTTTTTGGACAAAATTTATTTAAAATTTTGGGCCAAATTGTAAATAATCAAATT